GACTTTGACTAGGCCGCTATAAGATCTTTTAAGTGAGCATTGGATTATTGTCCTGATGTATAAATGAAGTATCTATAAGCTGAAGGATTTTTGTTTTTAGAAAGTATACTTGGTGGATCCTTTAGTTACAGTAAGTGGCTCAGGTCCATCACAACTCCCGTCTGCCATGTTGGAGTGTTATCAAAATGTCCTTTTTCGGAAAAAGCTGTTAGTTTTCCACCTGATCTAAATGGACAAACACTTTCTGAGAGGCTCAGTCTTTGTCTTGTCAGTCTACAGAATAATCTTGGGAATGATAATGATTTTTTTTTTGTGTTTGTTCTTTAGCTCAGCAGTGATTTTGGTCTTGGAAGCCATTTCTGCTCAGTCTCTTTCTCTTATTGTTAAATCATGAACTCTGTCCGTATCTGAGGAAAAGTCTGCAGATCATTAGATGTTATTTGAAGTTCTTGGAAGCTCATGGATTTGTATTAATTATCTTTTGGAGATTAGTTTTAAGTGTCCGTTCCTGGGAAGGTTCCTTGTTATTTTCTGTATCTGTATAATGGTTCTCACTTTGGTTTACTGGAGTCCAAAATCCATGGGTTTGTTATAATTTAAAATTATAGATATCAACATTTTTTTCTCATCTGTTCTTTAATCTTTCAACTGGGAAATTTGATGTTTAAGATATTTTATCTTCCTTCATGATAGTTAATCAAGTGGCTTTACTAAAGGTCACACTATTTTGTTTTTATAAATTATTAAAATCATCAAATGTAGACGATTCGTGTTTCAGTGTTCAATGTGGAAAATTAGCACAAAAAACCTGAAGATTTGCAGATTGTGAATATAGAGAAAACTATTTAATGTTTTATTTTTTTTTTATTAATGTCACTGTTTATGTTAACAGGTCACGAAGAGAAACCAGAATGGAGGGAGGAGGAGGTCAGAAGACCGGAAGGTAAATTCAACAAATATCTTTTATTTATTTTTTTTATTTTTTCAGTAAAGCAAGATGAGTTAAACAGTTAATTGCATGAGATTCGTAACATTTTGCTCTTATTTTTTAAACAGCCCAATTTATAAACGGAGTCCAGACCTGACAAAAAACCCGATGACGAAATCGGAGCAGCTCCTGAGGATAGATGATCACGATTTTACCATGAGACCAGCGTTTGGAGGTTAGACACACTAATTTGGTCATTTCAGTAATGTTCTATTTATAATCCAAAGGCCTGGAAATGCTACGACAGAAGTATGTATGTCGGTTTGAATGGATTTAAGCTTCTAGCCCTGCAGAATCTAAGCCTTCGGAGACCTTTGTGGCACATCACTTCAAACCCAGCTTCAAGCTCTGATTGCAGCTCTGTGCTTTACATGTTTTGCTTTTGTTTTCTTACTGGAAGGATTTGCTGTCAGATTGAATGATTATGCATTTATCTTGATATATATATATTCTTTTTGGATTCTTGTTTTAGTTTATCCTCCGTCAAAAACAAAAGACATTATTTAGCTGCAACAAATGATCCTTGGTCCCTTTTAATTTACAACACTAGTTCTTTCTTTCTGTCAGAGCACTTTTAATCACACAGCAATCAGCTGCTGAGCCATCAAGTGTCTATTTGCTGAATCCTTTCTGCAGTGTGAACCGTGAAGAGGAAAAGATAGTTGGATTGTATCCAATGTTGCATCAGCTTTTATCCTTTGTTATGACCCTAATGTTTTTTTTTTTTTGAGCTTCTGAGAATATGATGATGCAGAGTGCAGAGGCTGAAGTAGGTCAAAGATAAATCAAAGCCTGACTGTCACAGCCCTAACAACAACAGATGCTGTGTACTCATGCCTTTATTTGTTTTTTGTTAAATCTATGATAAAAACATTCAAATATTTATTCTTAATATGAACTACTGGAAAATATGTTGATGTTCACATAAAATAAAATATAATAAATCATGAAGCTCGTCAATAAAAGTGACCTGAACCAGGAATTTTCCATATTTTCGCTAAATTGCATGTAAAAAAAAAAACCTTAGCAGATCGGATTTTTTTTTATTTGATATCTATTAATTAATAACTATCAGTAAAGAAATCAAAATCAAAATAACTGAATGTAATTGAAAAAGTAAAAGTTAATCAAAATATATTAGGCAATCAGACATAAAGAGAACAATTATTTTATTTGTCTAGTTCAGGTCTTTATGTCCTTTTTAAACCTAAAATAAACATGTGACATTACATTGGATGTTAATACATTTTAAACCAAGAAAGGCTGGTTAGGCATCATGGTTGGTTTGGATCAGACTCCTTCAAAAGTATCAGACCCTCGCAGCATCTTAATCTTCCAGACCAGTTATTAATGACCAGCCAATCAGAAGCTGCTTTTAGTGTAGCTGTAGAAGCTAAGTGGGAAATATTTAACAACCACGCCTGAATTTAAATATATAACCACTTAAAAAAACAGAACTGGTCCCTGCTATGTAGTTTTTGTAATGTGTGCAAAGTGGTGAAAATATTGCTTCAAAGGTCAGAAAATCAAATTATCTTTTAACAGCTAATATTTATTGATAGCTGCTCTCAATTCGAACCTTAGCAGTAATTTTCAGTAAACTTTAGAATCCATCTGCTTAGCTAAAGTAGAATAGCATACGCTGAAAAAAAATGGAAATCTAGATAAGTCATTTTTTCTTAAAATAAGTGCATTTGTTCTTGGATAGAGGAAATAAAATAGACATTTTGCCAATGGAACGAGACAATTTACATTTAAAATAAGAAAACACAATTGCATTGTCTTATTTCAAGTGCATTTTATCTAATTATCTTATTTTAAGAGTAAAAATCTTCATTCCATGTGCATAAAATCTAATTTACCTACTTAATGATGGCTAATTACACTTAATTTAAGGCATTTTTACTTTTATCTAGATGTTTTTTCAGTGTAGTCTTGTTGTTTTTTTGTCCACCATGCATTATTCACATTATTCATAAATAAAAGTAAAAGTAGAGGATAATAATTCAGCACAGTGATCATTGACATAAATTCTGCTTTTTATTTTGTCAGGTCCTCCGATACCTGTTGGAGTAGACGTTCAGGTGGAAAGTATTGACACCATCTCTGAGGTGGACATGGTGAGTCTAAAAGAGGTTTTTTTCTTTATAAATTACAGATAAGACGTTACAAGTCGTCATTTGAACATGAATCATTCATTTGGACTTGAACCTAAAGGTTGAAAAGTTTTTTGATGGGGAATGGGGGGGCTATTGGTTAGGGAATTGCACTTGGAATCCAGAGGTTCTGAGTTCAATCCCCTCTGCCACTCTGGCTCCCTGAGCAAGGACCCTTAACTCCACGCTGCTCCCCGGGTGCCGCACAATGGCAGCCCTCTGTTCCCCATGAGGATAGGTTAAATGCAGAGGGAATTTCGGTTGCTTTTTACTTGTGACAGTGTAATGACTATTAAGTTGAATTATTGTCTAATTCACCACAAATATGTTTATGTGCCTCATAAAGTCAAATGTTCTTTTTGTTTAAGAATGATTAGCTGCAGGTTTTAATGAATATTTTTGGAACATACATAATGAATAATTTAGACCAGAGGTCTTCAACAGGGGGTCCGCGACCACTAGGGGGTCC